TTTCTAACTTCTCTAAATATTTATTATGTTCAGCTTCATAACATTTCATATATTCTTGCCTGATTTCTTGATATGGTGTTACGATTTTTCTTTCAATATATATTTCTGGTGGATGTTCGGGTATTTTTGACAACATATTATCACTTTTACCCTCTTTATCGACACCATTATTAATTTTATTTTTAGTATTGGACAGATTGTAATTAAGCTGCACATTAAAGTAACGATCTGGTTTTCTTTTTGATAATGTCAAACCACCATCTGCTCCTTTAGGATTTGGTAATAAGATTTCAAATTCTTTCATTGTTTTTAACGTTAATTTATGATTTGATAATGTTATTTGATTATTACTATTACTAATACTATTAATATTATCATCTTCTTGATAGTTGTCTTCAATATCATTATAATCATCATCATCACTATCATCTCGTGATGAAGACAAAAGTTGAAACACTTCAAATTCATATCGTTCTTTTTTTAAACTGTACTCATCACCTGATATTGTTTTCTTAAATTTTGCTACACTTTTTATACTAAACTTACTATCACTACCACTACTGCCATTAACACCATTAGCACCACCATCATTGACACTTTCATCGTCATCACTATCATCACTACCCTTATCTTCTTCCGGTAATTTAATTGTTAACCCTTTAAAATCTGATTTATTAACATTTCCTGGTAATTTAATTAACCATAACTCCTCCTCATCACTATCCTCCTCATCATTATCACCGTCTCTAACATCTTCACCTTTAATAATAAATTTCTTGTTTATATTATCGTAATTAAAAATTGAATTTTCTCCTGAAGAAACTTTTTTAGTCAACATTTTTTCTTTTTAAAAAATTTGTTATTTTTGATCAAAAACAAAAGATCGTGTAACTGTGTAATTTTACAATCCAAAAAAAAATTATATTAATATTACAAGGACAATTCGCGATATAAAATAATTAATTAATGATCATTTTTATTTCTTAATTTTAAATAAATGATATAATCTCTTTGACCTTTCCAAATTTATTTTTTCAATTAATAATATTAAATAAATCACTCTAACTTAATTGATTTCATTTGATTTTTAAAAAAAACTATTAATTTCATTAATATTACTCAGACATACAACAGGATCAAATAGATCCAATTAACCATATATTTATTTATATTTAAACTAGTTTTTTTACGGTCATGTCCGATATTAATACAGAAGCATTTTTAAAGGAAGTTGATGCTTTATACAATTCACAAAATAAAACGAGAAAAGAACAAGCAGATAATTGGTTACAGGCTTTTCAAAAAAACGGTAATTTTTTTAAAAGAATCTTAAGAGATAGAGCTTTAGATCAAAACTAATAAAAAAAAAAAAGAAAAAATATATATAAATATTATTATTTCAAACAAACAGTAAAAAGAAATCATCACAACATAAAATTTTCTTTTTAATTATAAATAAAAATCGTTGACAATTATTGCAGTCTGAAGCATGGTCGATATCAAATTACCTATTAAGAGAACACCAGGATCCTCAAGTACTTATTGAGGCGCGCTATTTTTGTGCTAGAACTTTAAGACAAAAAGTATGTTCATTCATATGATCTATACAAATACAATATATGTAAATAAATAAATTTTAATACTTTTATTTCTTTCTGAAGATAACTCTTGACCTACATCAACTTGACTCGAATGCCCGTATTTCACTCCGTGATTCACTCCTAGAACTTCTTTACCAATATCGATCTGGTCCTCGTAATGTGATTACTCAACTATGCTTATCTATTGCTGCATTGGCTCTCCAAATGCAAGATTGGAAAAATGTAACACATCGCCCATTACATGTCGAAATTCACGAAACTCGTCACGTTTCTCTGCTGTCCAACTTGAAAGATCGTTAGGATAGTGTAAATGTTTAATCATGACATTAACTAGAGCAGAATAGATATTTTTAAATTTATGTTTAATGTCCGCATGTCTAGGCTCGTATAAAGTATCGGCCAACATATGCCAAAAATAAAAAGTTATTCTAACAATTTCTGTATCATGATAGGTAGTACATTCGGCAATACTCTCAACTATACTTTGAAAAGCGTCAGAATGTTGAACAATTAATTGAAGATAAGACTCGCCGGCTTGAGTAAAAATACGACAATATCCTCTAACTTTATCATCATCCTCGTCTAACATTGCTCGTTTCAACGACTCTCTTAATGGTAACAAACGAGGATATATTTGTTCGATTAAGGTCATTGATTCGGGAATTCCACCACTTTCATGTATGATTTGACATACGAGATCAACGGCAATATCATAAAGTTCATCTGATTGTAATGCTTCAAATGAAATGGCTAGAAATGGATTTGATTCTAAAGCCGTTACCGGAATATCTCCTGAATCTATCCAACTTAACAAACACTCAAATACTTTTACTTGATATTCGGTCGATGTACCTAATAACAAATAAATGGTGAGTAGATGGATAATAGTAGATAATTAATTAATAGGTAGGCGATTGATAATAAAAATAAAACTTACCCAAATTTTGTAAATAAATTAAAAGTGTTTGTAAAACTTCATTGGCGTTATCTGTCAATAATTCTTTTGCCCTAATTCTAAACTCGTGATCCTTGTAAAACCAAGCACACATATACAATAATTAATAATTAATGATGATGCTAGAAAATTTAAAAATAACAATTTATCCAAAATGGTCTACCGATATGGGTATACGATTATTTGTATAGACTTCTTCAGGTAAAATTTTTAGAAATTCAAGTAGACATAATATAGTTTCGGGATTTTTTCCATAAAATTCAGCAACCTGATGTGTTACATTTTTCCAATCTTGCATTTGGAGAGCCAATGCAGCAATAGATAAGCATAGTTGAGTAATCACATTACGAGGACCAGATCGATATTGGTAAAGAAGTTCTAGGAGTGAATCACGGAGTGAAATACGGGCATTCGAGTCAAGTTGATGTAGGTCAAGAGTTATCTTCAGAAAGAAATAAAAGTATTAAAATTTATTTATTTACATATATTGTATTTGTATAGATCATATGAATGAACATACTTTTTGTCTTAAAGTTCTAGCACAAAAATAGCGCGCCTCAATAAGTACTTGAGGATCCTGGTGTTCTCTTAATAGGTAATTTGATATCGACCATGCTTCAGACTGCAATAATTGTCAACGATTTTTATTTATAATTAAAAAGAAAATTTTATGTTGTGATGATTTCTTTTTACTGTTTGTTTGAAATAATAATATTTATATATATTTTTTCTTTTTTTTTTTTATTAGTTTTGATCTAAAGCTCTATCTCTTAAGATTCTTTTAAAAAAATTACCGTTTTTTGAAAAGCCTGTAACCAATTATCTGCTTGTTCTTTTCTCGTTTTATTTTGTGAATTGTATAAAGCATCAACTTCCTTTAAAAATGCTTCTGTATTAATATCGGACATGACCGTAAAAAAACTAGTTTAAATATAAATAAATATATGGTTAATTGGATCTATTTGATCCTGTTGTATGTCTGAGTAATATTAATGAAATTAATAGTTTTTTTTAAAAATCAAATGAAATCAATTAAGTTAGAGTGATTTATTTAATATTATTAATTGAAAAAATAAATTTGGAAAGGTCAAAGAGATTATATCATTTATTTAAAATTAAGAAATAAAAATGATCATTAATTAATTATTTTATATCGCGAATTGTCCTTGTAATATTAATATAATTTTTTTTTGGATTGTAAAATTACACAGTTACACGATCTTTTGTTTTTGATCAAAAATAACAAATTTTTTAAAAAGAAAAAATGTTGACTAAAAAAGTTTCTTCAGGAGAAAATTCAATTTTTAATTACGATAATATAAACAAGAAATTTATTATTAAAGGTGAAGATGTTAGAGACGGTGATAATGATGAGGAGGATAGTGATGAGGAGGAGTTATGGTTAATTAAATTACCAGGAAATGTTAATAAATCAGATTTTAAAGGGTTAACAATTAAATTACCGGAAGAAGATAAGGGTAGTGATGATAGTGATGACGATGAAAGTGTCAATGATGGTGGTGCTAATGGTGTTAATGGCAGTAGTGGTAGTGATAGTAAGTTTAGTATAAAAAGTGTAGCAAAATTTAAGAAAACAATATCAGGTGATGAGTACAGTTTAAAAAAAGAACGATATGAATTTGAAGTGTTTCAACTTTTGTCTTCATCACGAGATGATAGTGATGATGATGATTATAATGATATTGAAGACAACTATCAAGAAGATGATAATATTAATAGTATTAGTAATAGTAATAATCAAATAACATTATCAAATCATAAATTAACGTTAAAAACAATGAAAGAATTTGAAATCTTATTACCAAATCCTAAAGGAGCAGATGGTGGTTTGACATTATCAAAAAGAAAACCAGATCGTTACTTTAATGTGCAGCTTAATTACAATCTGTCCAATACTAAAAATAAAATTAATAATGGTGTCGATAAAGAGGGTAAAAGTGATAATATGTTGTCAAAAATACCCGAACATCCACCAGAAATATATATTGAAAGAAAAATCGTAACACCATATCAAGAAATCAGGCAAGAATATATGAAATGTTATGAAGCTGAACATAATAAATATTTAGAGAAGTTAGAAAAGAAATGGAAGATTAGTAGATGGAATAAAAGATTTAAAAAACATGTTAAAGAAGAGAAAAAAGAAATGAAGAAATGGCGCAAAGAATTTCAAAATGCTGTAATGAACTCACAAAAAGAATTTTATGAGAAACTTGGAGAACTTAAATTGGAGGGGAAGGAAGTTAAAAAGGAAGAGGAGGATGATACTAATACTTGGCTAGAAAATTTAAAACGTAAATTGGATGATGATGATGATGATCATAGTAATGATGATGATGATGATGGATTTGAACAATTATTAAATCTAAAGAAAAATCAAGAAAAGAAACGGGTTAGAAAGGAAAAGGAAGAGCAAACAAAAGCATTAGAAACTTGGAGACTTGAATATTCTGGTCTACCTAGATATAAACCACCAGAAACATGGTGGGCAAAAAATAGAGATAAGATCATGAAGGAAGCCATGAAGAAAATTCCACCAAAGAAGCAAAAATAAATCTCAATGCTAAATCAATCAAAAACAAAATAAACAGCAAGTATATACTTTTAAATATTTTATTTTATAATTTACATTTATATAAATTTTTTTTTCAGATATTCAAAATGTTATATTAAAGTTGTGAAGAAAATTAATGAGAAACCAAATTATGTAGATAAGTAATAATACAATTAAAATTGGTAGATTTTCAGGTGGCAGATTAGACGATTTTGCAGTTAGAAAAACATTAAGATAGATGCAAGAAAATTGTTACTAAAAAAAATATATTATTAAATTATTTATTTAAATTTTTTTATTAATAATTTTTACATAATTACGTTGTGATCTTGATCCTTTTCCACCACCAAGAATGACATTGGAGGAGCAATCATTTATATTTGTATTAATATAGTTTTTAACTATCATTATTTTTATTAAGGTAATAATAATTAGTTTAATTTGATTTTGAATATATATCAGTCAGACAAGATTTCACGCTTACTGATTTTACTATGTGATCGACATAGCACGTTTTCCGTACAATTTTTATGCTTCTAAATAAATAGAATCTTGTGCTTTTGCTCGTTTAAATTCAATTTTTTACTTGTCAATAGCTTGTTTCGTTATAGCGCAATAACTTCCCAAAGAGACCCATACTTTTTGACTTTAAAGGCCTAATTATTTATGAAAAACGATTCTATTAAGATCATTTTAGCATCATAAGATAGAGTACATTGAGAGCTCTCAGAAAATATATGGTTCGTTTGGTTTTCTTGGAGGTGGAAGAAATTAAAGGCAAAAAACAATTTTATAAGTTATTTATGACTATTTTATATTAGTATTAAATTTTTTTTTAATTAGATCATTATACTAATTTTATTGAATTATCTAATTTAGATAGAATACATTGAAGTAATTAAAAGCAATAATTCAATGTAATTTTATTTTTGTTTTCTTTTTACATTATTATACCAATAATCACTAACTTTAGTAGATGACCATGAATTATTTATTTTAAATAGATTTTCAAATAATCTTTTTGCTACTTCCTTTGATAAGTCTGTAGGATGATTAAACACTTCTTGAAGAATTTCAAGTTCCTCATTTATTTTTTTGTGTCTCTTATATTTTAGTAAAGAAGTTTCAATCTCATCAATTGGTGCAACTGTTATGTCTGAAACCAGAGTGGGTAAATTGTCTCCAACTTCTATCTCTTTGTTTGATCTACCTTTGTTGATTTCTTTGATGAGTGTATTATGTTCTTTAACTTTCACAAAGCAACATCTTTACTTCGTTTACCAACAGTGGAATGTGGTATTTTTTGTAAACTTCTTGATATAATGGTAAAAATTATGAATAAAAAATTATGGAAGATAGTATTTAAAAAATATATGATTGCAGATAAAATATTTGTTTATTAATAATAATAATAAAATTACAATGATTAAAATGATTAAAAACAGATTTATAAGAATATTGTTATATGATTATATCATATTTATATTTAAATGACAATGTACTTAATTCCTTTATCTGCTAAAGAAAGACTTCAATAATAACCAATCATTAAAAAATAATAATAAATAATAATAATAATAACAGCCTAAATTTTCTTTCTTCTGCAATTGTCACTATTATGTATATAGTAATTATAAATATTACATTAAACAATTAGAAGAAAAAAAAATATTAAATCACAAAGAGAATTTATTTTCATTATTTATACCATATATTTTCTTAATACTAAAAATGTATTCAACATACATTAATTCCTTATTCTTTTTTGTAGGGCAGCGTTGTAATTATTGGAATAACATTTTGCGACCATTCTTATCATTCATTATTTAAAAATGTGTATATATGTATCCTTTAATGAGTCTTGCAATATCTATTTTTATAAACAAAAGGCTAAGTTAATTATAAATATTACATTAAACAATTAGAAGAAAAAAAAATATTAAATCACAGAGAATTTATTTTCATTATTTATATCATATATTTTTCTTAATACTAAAAATGTATTCAACATACATTAATTCCTTATTCTTTTTTGTAGGGCAGTGTTGTAATTATTGGAACAACATTTTGCGACCATTCTTATCATTCATTATTTAAAAACGTGTATGTATGTATCCTTTAATGAGTCTTGCAATATCTATTTTTATAAACAAAAGGCTAAGTTTATCAGTAAGAATATAATTACAATATTAAAAAATTATATAATCAACTACTTATTATTAGTTTTCATTTTATTAATATTTTATTTAAAAATGTATAACTTCTAACTGCTAATTATTTATCGTTTTTTTATGAAACCATATCTAAAATTTTACAAGGAATAAAATAAAATCTCAAAGAATGTGTGTACAAAATATCACGTTCCTTGTTAAAAATTACATGTGGATGTACTAGTGACGAGTAAAAAGTTCTTTCGATTTTAATAGTAAAAATTGACATGTTTCACAAAAATTTTACATAGCTATGACAGTAGACATGTCGATCGCGTGAAATCTTGACTGACTGATATTGGCTTTTGTAGCATAAACATACCATTGTTCATAAATTTGTTTATAAAGGGTTTAATGTTACTCATTATCATTACTGTTACCGTAAAGTCTGGAAAGATAGCATCCCCTTTTTTACATATGTGTAACATTTTTTTTATATTGACGCTCAATTGTTTTAAAGTAGGGGGTGCTATCTTTCCAGACTTTACAGTATTACTGTTTATGTCATATCTCCACATCTTCATCATCAAATTCACAATTATACTGAACCAATGGAAGTTCATTAGCAATATCATAGACCAGCTTAGCTAGAAGTTTCTTTACATCTAAAAGGTCACTGATTACAAATGGCTTTTACCTACTAAAAATAAAATTGACATTATACAACAAACCAGATGCAATTTTTTTTTTCATAAGCTTCTCTATTATCACTGTTCTTTTTATTTTTTATTGGGTAAATGCCTACTTCCAACACTATTATTCAAAATTCTTGATTCGTTTTGATCCATCAATCTTACAAAAATCATGAGTACCATCTATTCTATATCTATATTTTCTTTCTAGATTTGCATCAACTTTTTATTTACTTATGCCCAAGTTATTATTCTCATGTTATTATTGGTAATAATCAATTTAATATTTGCATATAAGGTAATTTTTGGTTTTATTTTTTTATTTTTTTATTCATTTTCTGTATATATAGTACTTTTTGTAGTTGTTGTAGTTACTGTTTGCCACTTTCTTTATCATCATCATCGCCATCAATAACATCATTATTAACATCATTATTAACATCATTATTAACGTCATTATTATCATTATCATCTTGTTCTCTGATAACCAATGGCGAATCCTTTGGTAGATTAGATCTGATATTTAATGCAATCAGTTGTCCAAAAGTGCTAATACCTTTATCAGTTCATTTAGAATTTATCATTGCTTGAAATAATTGTAGGCAACCTACCTTTATCATTTGGGGTTTCAAATCCATAAAAATTCCAACCAAAATATGCTAGTTTGAATGCTATATGATTTTTAGTATATTTTGACATTAAATAGTCTTTTCTTTTGTCAAATTTTTTTTTAAATTGTTGCTATTATTTCAATAGTATTATGATTATTGTGATTATCATTATTATTATTAGTTGTATGCATTTCATCCTGCTTTTCTAGCTCCTCCTTCTGTAGTAGTAGTGATTGTTGTTTTTCTAGTTAGTAGTTTTGCCAACAATTCTTGTTTACAATTAGAATATTTTCTGAGCACAAAATGTCTACCAAATTTATCAGAAAATTCTGAAAACAAAATAGATTTTTCCACATGTAATGTAAAAAATTTTTTTTTTAACATCTAATTATAAAAATGAGTTTATATGAATATGGGTTTAGTATATAGAGGTAGCTCAAGATCAAGATGCTCAAGGTATGTTTATAAATATCAATTCTTCCAATACCTTCTTTCTTTGTATAAAATAAAATAAAATTATTATTTGATATTTGTAGTTTACAAATAAATGATTTATAATATAAACAATATACTGTAAATACAACAAATCTAGCTTCATGAGCAGTGTCTAAAATCTGAACTTGAGGTTATGTGCACTGACCACACATTATTATCAAACTAATGTATGGGCAATTTACATAAGTAATAAAATAAATTATAAAACAATTGATAAATTTTGTTTATACTTTTCAAAAAACATAGTCACCTTTCTATACTGTCTTCACTTTTTTTCAAGTCAAAGTTAAACTCATAACCAATTTGGATCAAAATCTTCACATACTTTATTTAATTCATGTCTGGTTATTTCCTTATTTTTTTGCTTTTGTGTAGTTACTAAAGCTCTGAAACACCATGAATTGAGACTTGCATCATGAATTGCATCTTGTGCCAGTTGTATAAAATTATGATAGGTGGTGCAGTGCAAGTTTTTAGGATTTTTAATTCAATTTAATAATTTGACCTCAAGTATAATTGGTACAGTCCAAAAGTTTTCAGGTTTCAGTTTAGCCCAGCCCGCAAGCATGATTCATGACAATTTATTAGCTAACAAAACCTTTTTGGCTATGAAGCTTTGATGTTGCATTAAAAATTAAAAAATTAAAAAGTTTTCATACATAAATAAAGAGTTTTATATGTGGTTAAAGTTTGGATTCATTATTGTGTTTTGTGTAGTGATGGTGGCTGAAATTATTTTAGCAAATCTGAAATAGTTGGGAAATCTTTTTTGTGAAAAAAAAAAAATTTTTTAAATTTTATTATTAGGGACGTGGCAGATATGACATAATTAATGATTTGACAGTGCGTTGGCCCTCCTCTCCCACATCAGTCACACAAATTTGTTTTGTGCTACAAAAATTTTTTCGCAGCTTTTCATTTATCCTTATTGTATGTGGTGAAATTGAAATCGAAATTTATAATTAAAATTTTGCAGTGGGATGTTTGGATATGAAATTATGATTGTATAATTTGAATTTCACATATGTGAATTGCAAATTCACATAGATTTCATTTCAACGCACAACATCCTCAAAAATTAAATATTTAATTCGTACAACTTTGAAATGGAAAATGATGGATATTTGAATCATACATGTTAACCAAAATTAATTCTATTAGTAAATGATCATTGCCAAATTCAAAATTCCAAAATAGCTTTTCATAATAGCTGGAATTAATTTTAATAGTGGCCAAATTTTCTATAGGGCAAAACCACCCATATTATACAACATTGTTGGCATATTATTATAAACAAAATATTGAGATTTACTGTGAGACACAGATTTTTATCTCAATTTTTATTATTATTATTTGTAGTGTTCATAGATGATAAAAATGTTAAAAACAGTATATATAAATGTTGAATATAAAAATACTAATAAAATAATAAATAAATAATAAGAGGCATGATGGTAGGTCGCTTCAATCTGGGTTAAATTATAAAGTGGGTTTGCTTTAATTTAAAAATCATCTAGTATAGTTAATTCAATTTGTTTAGATTCTATATAATTTAAAATATCATTAATAATAAATAATTAAGATTAAATATTT